TCTATCCTGCCGTTCTTTGCATACTCCATCCCCTATGATCCTTGCTAGGAGCGACCATGCGCTGATATGTTAGTTCAAATAGACAACCCCTTTGTCGACCTATTGATCGGAACGGCCCCTTGATCCATTTCCCTTTTCTCACTTCAACCATCTTCTTTTTTTCATACATGTTCCCGGCATCTCTTCCAGCCACCGTCACTCCTTTGCAATAATTTTTTTCATCACACTCTTTAATACTCTAATCTCTTAATTGCCCACAGTGCTTCTACATTTTCAGAAGGCACGACCGGGCTCACAGTCATTGACCCCCACGCAAAAGCATTCATCTCCGACCCAAGATTCCTGGAGAACTTATCCGTCTTTCTTTGATTAAATTCACAAATAATCTGTTCCTGTTTCTTACAACACCGGGTCCAACCTCAACCGACATCATGGCCCACTCTTACCCAGATTCCACCTTCTTCGTGGAGTCGGATGAGCAGCTCTACCCCAAGCTCACTCCCAGACAAACAGCAAAGTTGATCGCCCGTCGAAGACAAGAGCTCATCTCGAATGAACTCTCGCGGTTAGCAGCAGACGAGTACTTGGAGGAGATCATGGACCACATGCGACACATGGAGGTATGTTTGAGTATCGGGCAACATGGTTGGGTGATGTGGCTAAACGAACATGACAGGACGAGACGATCCCAGACGTCAACTTCATTGATATGCAGCGCGAGATCCAGTGGTTCATGCGACCTTATCTCATCGACTTCCTCATCGAGGCTCACAGCGCCTTTGGCCTACTACCCGAGACTCTGTTCCTCACCGTCAATCTTCTGGATCGCTACTGCGCTAAGCGTATAGTCTACAAGCAGCATTACCAACTCGTCGGTTGCGCGGCTCTACTCATTGCGGCCAAGTACGGTGACAAGAAGGATCGTGTGCCACAGATTCACGAACTCAACAACATGTGCTGCGGACTCTACGATGCCGGCATGTTCTCGCAGATGGAGATGCACGTTCTGAACACCCTAGACTGGACCATTGGCCACCCGACCGTCGACTTTTTCTCGCAACTCATGGTAGCTGAGGAGCAGGACGATCAAGAGGTGGAGCACATGGCTGCCTATATGAGTGAAATCGCGTTGTACAGCAGGGACTTTGTCTCCACGAAGCCGTCGGTTCTCTCACGCGCGTCTCTCGCCCTTGCCCGAGCTGTTCTTGGCCGACCCGAAGTCAACGATGGGGAGTGGGACCAGAAGAGCAACATGACACTCCTCACTCTGTCGCACCACCTCCACACTCCGTCGCCCACGCTCGCCCGAAAATACGCAACTGCCAACTTCTCGCGTGTTTCTCCTAAGCTTGCCGACTTCATGGCGCAACAAGCAGCCCTCGCCCGCCGCAACGCCGAGCCCCCAACCCCCCCGACTGAGCCTGCGAGGCAGGTCGACGTCTGCAGCACTCCCCAGAAAGGCCATGGCTCAACATTCGGATTGGAGGGATACTTGACGCCGCCTATCACGCCCGATGGTCACCACTATGGTAACGCTACATCACAATCAGTCACAGCCGCCCGCTGCCCATCGACGCCGACGCCGCATCACAACAGCTCATCACTATACGTGACCGACACCCACCACCACTACTCAAATTATCCCCAAGCACACTATGTGAACCAATAGGGAAACCCCCGTACCGAAACCCCGCCGACGTCCACTGAGCATCAGCAGACACCACCTCTCACTCTCTTTCTCATTGAGGGTAACCACTCTCACCTTGTACCTTCACCTTCTTGGCCACCGATTTTTTTTTAAACTCATTACTCGGGTTAGAGAAGCTCGATTGCATGGAGGCATGCAGAATGATATATTTCATCTACGTCATAGCATTTAGCGACAATAGTTTTTGTTTTCTCTCTTTTTTTCATTGCGACTCGAGTTCAATTTCAAGTCGATTCGGCACCAAAAAAAAATAAGGAACCCGAACCCATACCCCTTTCGAACGAATTTTTTCAGTGTTTCATTTTCTCAATATTGGTCCTATCGCGAGAGGACAGTCTACGGGGATTAAAAGTTGATTTCACCAGCATAGACATGCGGACGAGGACGACCCAGTGATGGGGGAAGGATATACCAAGAATGCAATACGGCGCCGTCTGTGCAGAGGCAGGAAGAACAATGATGAGACAGACGGGTCTCGAGGAAACAACACAGTGGAAGCTTATTGAAACAGAGGCGGGGCGGAAGACGGGGCTAGGCTCAGGTCCTGTATTAATTGTTACACACGACGCTATGGGGAGCTGGAGCTTGGCGCAACATAATCGTTTCCGCACAATACTAAAACCAACGGCGAGCACCTGGTTGACCTCATTCCCGCTGTGCTTTCTCGCTCCCTGTGTCTGGGTAGATGTGAACAGGTACAAAGCAAGATTAAAAAAATTGCTCTAAAATCAAGCATGATCCTTGCATGAGTTTGCCGTAGTCGTGAATGGTGTATATAATTTCAGGCATATAACAGAGCATATTATGATATATCTCTCAATGATGGTGCCACATGGATATCGAGTCCAAGCTTTTCCATGCCACTTAGTCCCGGTATCCGCCACATTAAGACTTGCTAGCCCATTATAGGTGTTAGGCCTTATCCCATAGCACATGGTAGTCATACACACATCATCTCCTGAGGCTGATACTCGGGCTGAAGGGTGTGTTCCAACATTCCCCCGCGCTGATCAGAGAGCTACAGTCTACAGGGATGGAAATGCATTATGGGCAATAGTAGGTGACGGAGAAAGGGGGGGTAAAAGGAAAAAGAAAGAATGGTGTGATATTAGATCTTGGGCCGATCTCGATGCCGGCGTCGAAAAGAAAGAGAAGGATAAATTAGCTACATTAGATGGCTCCCCGGAGATGGCGTTCCTACGAAGGGGGGTGTGGGCAAAACTAAGACCCAACGCTTGCCGGAAGGAGGAAGCTGCCTGTGTGATAGGGATGATTTAGCTCAATCGGCTTTTGCGCGTGGCTCTAGTAGTAATTTATTCGATATAGGGATTTCTTTTCTTAATTGGCATGATTGCTGGTATGCGGAAGGGGGTTGTTGGAAGGGAGGTGTGTGCTGGACCTTGATTAGGGTAGGTTGAGGCCAGGGGGATATTTTTGGGCGGGAGCGGGAAGCTTGCCCTCCTTTCCCCTTGTGCATTGGAGATTAGAGATTGATGGGTGAGGTTTGAAGTTCCTTTTTTTTTTTTTCCTTTTTTTTCTTTTTTGACCTTGCTCTTTGTCTCGCTTGCCGCAGGGCTCGTCGCTCGCTTGGCATGCTGGAACCTGGCGATGGGATATTGCAGATTGACGGTGTGATGTGAAGGAGTGGGGCCCCTGGCAGCTACCGGGCGATTGCTAGTCCAAGTAGGTAAGTAATTAAGAAGAGGTCCGTATTGACGGATGTGTTGTGTGTTGTTGACGGTGGCATAAGGTCGTCATCTTGGGGCGCATGGCATTCTGTAGCAAGTTGCCCGCGCTGCTTCTCAGGAGGAGATGAGACGATCATGGCATAGACGCAGGCAAAGTTTGGTGAGTCAAAGGCCAGAAGCGCATCGACGGATGAGTTGTACGCTTGGTCTGATCCGCCTCGTCAATGGGTAGATTAATACGACCAGCAACTATAATAAGGAACATGAAGCACACACAGACGCCCATTGGGTCCGTGGGCAGCCAGTGCCAGTGCCGAAATGGGACAATACCAGCGTTTGATATGCCCAGCTGGGCCATGTGCAGAGAGAGGCATGCCGGACGGGTTAATTATCGCTGCCTGGGACTTACACCGAGAGAAGGAAGGATTGGCCTGCTGCAGTTGGACCGGCTGATGGGCTGGCATGGGGGAGGAGGAGCCCATTCCGCGACGTGCAGGTCCCAGGAAATGAAGCCAGCCACCGCGCGCACACGACACGCCCTGGATCTTCTGCTCGGGGCGATGACCTCTCGATCTCGCCATATCAGCCCATTTCCCATCGCGGGATCGCACGTAGCGGTGTTCCTAGCGCTTATTGCTTCGGAGCATGGCGCACCCTCCTTGGACTCGAACACGGCCTCTTTCGAAATCGCGCCCCGCCTGAAATCTAGAAGAGGACCTGATCAAGGCGTTTGCCAATTTACATAGTTCTTCCATTTGCGGTTACTCTCTCGTTGAAGTCGTCTCCACTTGTGGAATGCGCATAAAATTGAACCCCAGCTTGGCAGGGCTCGATTCTGAGGATAGCCAACATGCGGAACCTACCCTGTAGGAGTATTTGAGAGAGATCTCAATCCATACTCAGCTTGTGTTTTGTTGCATGCTTAGGGGCTTTGCGATAGTTTCGGGTTAATTGTGGTAGTCTAATTCTTTTTCCTGTAGTTGTGCCTTTTTCATTACCTGTTTGGATGTGTTGTCGGGAAGTTGCTATGTTTAGGTAGTTTTAAACTCGACAGAACGTCATGTTGATCACCAGTACAGACTTGTAGCTAGAGAAATTGAGAGTGTCAAAAGGGAAGCAATGATAATACCATCTGAACGGTTTGCACTGGCCCTCTGTTCTTCTCGGAGAAGTTTACTGATCAACAAAACTAGAAATTTATTGGCATAGCGATATATCGCCCCGAAGGGTGTAACACCAAGAAGCAACTGAAGAAAGAGTTACAAAATTAGAAACGGCAACGCGTTTACTCAGACTACTGAACCGAAACTGCGGGTAAAAATACACATACACAACAGAGAACAAAGAATGTGTCACAAACAAGAATAAAGGTGAGGCGAGCATTGTCTGTCCGCATGGGTTCGAACAAAGCAATGTAAACTTGGAAACTCCCACCAAAGAGAGAAAGCACGTCAAACTGAAACAGCAAAAACGGTGAGAAGTACACAAACACCGGCTTGTAGACAAAAGGCAGCGATATCTGCCGCGAGAGAATATCTCACATAGTTGATCGAACCAGCTTCACTGAGAGCCCTACGGAAACAACCACAGACGGCGCACACGGAATGATGGCAGCAAGTAACGACCAGGCCCCAAATATCAGGGCCGACGCGCTGAGCATCGAGAAGGAACCATACACTGACATGTGGTTGTTTCGATGGCTCACCGAAGCTCCCGGTGAAATCCAGGATGAAAACGGTATGCAGCACCAGTACCGAGGTTACAGTATAGCACCACCGCGCATACAGATTAATAGAATCTGGGAGATGATTCGAAACCACGCCAGAGATCCCGTCTCAGACTGGAAAGCCAAGATATTCGACTGCTTCAGATACCTGGTCTCGCTGGATCAAGAGGAAAATGCGCATCGCTCATGGTACAACATGCTGCAAGTCACAATCTACCAGATCAAGCCGATTATATTGATAATACAGTACGAAAATGAGATGAACCAGGCTTATCTGCACTCCCCTGCCGTCATCTCCAGGACGAATCGTTTTGACCATCTTCTGGATCCAAACCGTCCCTTATTGGCGCCGCCCACGCCAAAACGAGGGAGCATTACTGAGCTGCCACATGGCACTGTCAACATAGAAGACGTGCTAAAGTTACCGAGGTTTCCCTCGAATCTCGAGGAAGAAGAAAGGCAATGGACGCTAACGGGAATCAACAAGTGCTATATGGAGCAAGAAGAGAGCCGTGCCTCGTCGAAAAGGGACCGCGTTATCCAAGAATACAGGGAGTCCTTGACAGAATCCGACAAAGGCGAGCCCGTCATGCCTCTCCCGAGAAACTGGAACGGGCCCGTGGAGCTGAGCACGATGGACGAGCAAATAAAGCAAACCCGGGACACGCTGCGCGAGCATCAGAAACTATGGGCGCAGCTCGAAAAATCCCACGGGAGATGGCGAAACCGGCCGCTAATAAATCAAATACTCAACATGATTTGGGACGGCCGAGAGGGAGTCTCCTGGGCCGAGCTGGACTTGGAATTCGGAGACCACGAATTCCTGCTGGGTAGCGACGGTGGGCGAGAACTCAGACTCATTGCCGCGGAGGAGGCTTCCTGGCTGTGGTATCTCAGCAGACCGCTCTACTGCGGTGATCTGCCCCAAACAGACGGCCAGTGCGACAGGAAGTTTGATGTATTCTGGAAGAGGGTCCGGAGCTGGCTCAGCAACTATGCCACATGCCCGCGAACTTTCCACACGAACCAGGGGTTTTTGAGCAAGCAGGAGCTCATGCAGCAGTTCAACACGGAGCTTAGAGGACCCGTGGAGAAATGGCGACTTGGGCAGATGCCCCCGGAAGTCTGGAAAGACGCCGACACGAGAGGCGTGCTCGAGTAAGTGGCTTTCCCTTAAATCCGCCGGGCTATCTTGTTGCTAACGTCCTTGCTGTAGAGGCTCCCAGTATCATACTCACTATGCCGTCAGAGCATACTATCCCGAGCGCACAATTCGATGGCCCAGTCCGCCCCAGGAGGCGAGCAGCGACGGAGAGGTCGATGGATGGGAGGCTTACAAACGACTTCTGAGCCAGGTTGAGGACGAGATCATAACTGCAGAGGAGATGGACAGGCAGGTGGCCCAGGATGCAGAGAATGGTACCTCGATTGTCGCCGACCAAGAGAAGCAAACAGCGACCTTCTTTCGCCGCCTCGCATATAGGCTTGGTTACACAATACGGGTTCTGAGCGAAGAGCACCATCAGGACATGGAGACCCTCGAGAGTGAAGGGCGAGAAGAAGCAAGCCGCCAATCCTTGATCAAAGTCTTGGACACCTGGAAGCGCACAAGGGACCAAGAGGATGACACTTCCCAGGAAGGGAGCCGGAAAAGGCGCTGTACTTCCTACAGAGACATTGTGCGAGAGCATGTGCCGGATCGATTCCGGAAAGACTGGGAGGACGACCATAGCCGTGATGTGGAAGCTCAATGTGCAAAAATAGTTGGTCAGGAGGTTTTGTGGGAGCTCGAGGATAAACAACCATGCAGCCAAGAGCCGTGCAACAAGAAAGGCTACAGGGAGGCGCTGTGGACTTTTGGACACTCGTCGATGAAGCCCAGGGCGAAGAAGTTCTGGGACATTGATAGGTGGATTGCGCACCAACATATGCGGGAGCAGAGGGACGCCGGCGAGCAGACGAACGCCGCCGAACATGCGGGCTTCAACGAGGTGGAAAGTATGTTCTACGGGTACCATTACAGGCCAGAGCAAGAGCGGGGACCTGATGATCGATTCTACACTGATAGTGCCAGCCGGTCTCTCCTAGGTCCGGGTGCTCATACGTGGCAGAGTGAAGCAGACTTCAGGCCAGAGATATTCGACGCGGAGGAGGTAGACGGACAGCAGCCTCAAGGGGACGGGGAGGACGATCCGCCAGTTGAGAGAGGCAGTTGGTTCGAGACCGTGATGGGCCCTCAGGATACAGAGAGCGGCCATTCCCAGCAGAGTGAACAGATCCAGCAAAGTGAGACAGGAACAGAACATAGTGGTCGCTCTAACAAGGAAAATGTAGGTCACCGGACCTTGCTGCCTAGTCCTGATGGTAGCACGATTCAGGGTGGGATTGCAGAAGCAGGAGGCCCTTTGCAAGACGTAACACATATTCATGAACCCGGAGCTGAGAGTGAGCCTGACCAGTATGGAAGATCCGAGGATGAGAATCAAGGCCCCAGAGTCCGGGATCAACACAGCTCGTTCAGCATCTTTGAGGACGGATCGGACGAATAGCCGAGCAAGTTGAGCCATTCGGCACGCATATTAGTGGAAATGGAGAAGTCAGGGTTTCGGAGCCCAGCTGGACCGTCTATAGTTCCAGAAAAACGAGACTCTCTGATGTCTCCCCGAGGACTCGACGTTAGGAGTTGTGAGCGAAATACAACGAGGCCTGAGTGGTAGAAAGGTGTTGAGTTTTTTGTTGTATGGTGAAGCCTCTCTGTATATACTGGGCTAGTATAGAAGTTAGTAAAATGTGTCTTCGTCGTTAGAATGCTTGGTTAGTTGATTTTTATAAGGGCACAGTGACACAGGGCACAGGTGGGAAATCTTGAATTTAGAAGAATTTCTTTTTTTGTTCATTCAGACCATAGCCAGTAATATTTTTGTAGCCTCAAATCTGAAAAAAATAAGCCCTAACCGGCCAACCATGCATTGAAACACATAAGGGATCATGACTCCGCGCACCAGCCTCTAACTCTCTAGTATCGCTTCTGACCAGCCCGCAGGGTATCAGCGAACTCCTCCAGGGGACTGCGCAGCAGCTTGGTCTCCTTCCAGAGGTTGGGGGTGAGGAAGCCGTAGGTGTTGGTGACGGCGACGAAGGTGGCCTTGAGGGTGTTCTCGAGGGTCTTGGTGGAACCGGCGGATGAGGTGTAGGCATCCTCAACACCAGCGAGCTGGAGGAATCGCTTGACGGCGGGGGAGGCAACGAGGCCGGTACCACGGGGGGCGGGAATGAGCTAGAGAGGCAAACTGTCAGCACTTGAACGAAGCAATTGGCGTATGAGGACGCTTTTTTTGGGGGGTATTGTCGAGGTGAATACGTACACGGACGGTGACGGAACCGCACTTGCCGCTCTGCTTGGAGGGCAGAGAGTGAGGCTGACCAAGGTTGGAGCCCCAGAAACCACGACGGACGGGGATAACGCTCAGCTTGGCGATGATGATGGCGGCACGGATAGCAGTGGCGACTTCCTTGGAGGTCTTGATACCGAGACCGACGTGGCCCTCAGAGTCTCCAATGATGACAATGGCCTTGAATCGGGTGCGCTGACCGGCACGGGTCTGCTTCTGGACGGGCTTGATCTGTAGGTTTGGAAAAGATTGATGTTAGCCACGGCTCATTGCTCACTGTTCATACAATTAGATCCCCAATTCGAATTTCGACAGGGTTCCAATATATTGTATGGCATGGGTTTGGTATATCGCTGCGCACCTTCATGACTTCATCCTTGAGCTTGGGCAGGAAGTTGTCGACGATCTGGTACTCCTTGATGGGGAGAGAGTGCAGGTAGATCTCCTCCATGCTGTTGATCTTGCCGGCCTTGACGAGACGACCGAGCTTGGTGACGGGCTGCCACTCCTTCTCGTCGCTCTTTCCACCACGGCGTCCACGGCCACGTCCACGTCCACGGCCACGGTCACCACCACGGCCACGGTCACCGAAGCCACCACCTCGAGAAGTTCCACGGTCAGCCATCTTGGGCAATTATTGTTCGAATATTTGCGCTGGGGGGTTAGTTGTCGAGACGCAAATGGGACGCAGGCGGATGTGAAGTCGTCGTATTTCGGCGATTTGGCTAGGAACTTTTTCGGTGGTGGTGGGGTCCACGCAATTGGGAATTTTGGGGTTATCTGAGCCCTAATCGGCTTGTGCATGTTGAGTTTGCCTGGGTACTTAGGCATCAAGAAAAGCGGGTAAGATTTTCTCACCGATGACAGGGCTCGGTGAATCTCGGTGTAGGGAGTCCGGTACGTACCGAGAGTGATCAACAGGCACTGGGCTAGTAAACGTTGCGACCCCGAAACTGATACGATTGAATTCAACGCTCTAAAGCATAGCGAGGAATTCCAATGTAGACTGCTATCAGACTTGTGTTCCTGAGGGAATCCGCAACAATGGGTGACATCAGCTGTTGATGTTCTGTCTTGTGACTGTTTCTGACAGAGGGGGGAGGGGATGTAAGGTTTCGCTAACGACCTTGCTGTGTAGAATCTCATGATCATGACTTCAATTGCTGCTATCAGAACCGCTAACTTTTTAGCCCAACAAACTACAAATAAATGGAAAGGATCCCTGAATAAGCGGGGAAGAGGTGAAAATAAGAATAGGTCGAATATATAAGCAGTTGAATGACCTTGCCACTCGCTGCCAAGGCCCAGTGAAGAAGTTGCCAAATCGTTACCTGAAGCTCCGGTCATAACAAGCGATAGTAGTACATGTGTTGGTTCAAGGAAAAAGGATGAAGAGCGGGGTATATAAATAGAAACCAGCCATTTCATTATTCTTTACTCTGCCTCTGCCTCTGCCTCTGTCTTTACGATTAGATTGTCAGAGGGCTTGACCCGCTGCGCCCATTCCCTGTTTTCAATGTGTTAGCCCATGGTGGTTCCTCATCTATGATGCACGTGAAATTGCACTTACGTCCAGCTTCCGTCATAAACTCTTCTTGATTCTGGGGAACCGAAGCCGGCCACCTCAAGACCGGTGTCGATAACACAGGCTGTGACACCAGTACCGCAGCTGGAGATGATGGGCTTCGCAGGGTCAACACCCTTCTGGCTGAAGATGGTCGCCAATTTTTCTGGGGGATAGAACGTCTTCGTCTCAGGGTCCAGGAGATCAGTGAAGGGAATATTAATAGCGCCGGGCATGTGTCCGGAGGAAAGGCCCTCGCGAGGCTCTGGCGCCTTGCCTGTAAATCTGCCAGATGATCTTGCATCCAGGATCTGAACGCCCTCGGCGCCCTCTTTGTTGTAGTCTTGCGCAACTTCCTTGACCTCCTCGAAGCTGGCAACGCTGGCCTCGTCGAATTTAGGGATGGGGTACGGGCAACACTCGACGCTGTAAAGCTCTCCCGTTTCGGTGGGGAGGCCCTGATCAACCCATTGCTTGAAGTTGTTCAGAATATGCACCTTGGGATGCCCGAATAGCCTTAACGTCCACGCTACGCGGGGGGCACTGAAGATTCCAAGTTCCTTTGAGTCATATACCACCACAGCATCTTCCTTGCGCACTCCCAATTCACTCATCGCGGCCGCAAAGCCCTTGGCATCCGGCAGCATGTGAGGGTACGGGCTCCGCTTGTCGATGACTTTGTCGAGGTCGAAAAATCGCGCCTTGGGAATCCGCTGCTCTCGGAAAGTCTGGATACCGGATCTCTCATCGTTGGGGAGGAACCATGAAGCGCATAGAGGTACGACTCTGGGCTCGGGGCTGATCGGGGAAGGAGGGTTTTTCGCGAGGGCTTCATGTAACTCCTTTGGGCTGACGAGATAGGAAGAGAAATTTCGACGAATGGCACCATGTACACGGAAGTTCTTAATGCCTATGCGAGGGATCCCAGCCCGCAAAGGCCGGAGGGCAAGAACGGCTGCCATTGTGTGAGGTTATGGGAGTCGCGGAACGGATGGATCGTTTTCTTCTCCTCCGGATGGCGAGAGGAATTGAAGGGCGGGACCTAGGAGAGCAAAGCCGGAGTATGGCAGCAAGAATACGTCGGTAGGAGAAGAGAAAATTAGTATGTTCGGAAGGCTTCGTTCACGAAGACCCAGGGGGGTTGGCCGACATAAAAGATGCCGTAGGTGTGAGGCAATCCACGGTTTTGGAGAAGCTGCTGATAAGCATTGAGCACGCACAGGCACATGGCCCGGTTCTGCTGTGCGCTGCGGGGAAGCCCACCCAAGGCCAATAGGACCGACCCCTGGAGGCAGCTTTTAGTGGTCAATGGCACCACGTTGCGCTGGCATTCGACCTGTCTCTATTGGTCGACAGCGGTCATCTTGACTTTCAGGCCGTCTTTCGGGGGCTCATTACCAAATTATGCATGTGCTGGGTTTCGCGATAACGGTGACCACCAGACCTTTATTATTTCGGGTGCCTGAACAACAACATACCCCCACGCGTAAATCCAGCGGGAGCTCTATTTTTGTCGCCTTCTACCACCCCCATTAACTAGTATACCTATTCTTATTTCTAGAGGGAACTCTCATCTCCCCTGTCCAACCATCAATCATGAAGGTCACCATCCAAAAGTGGAACACCGTCGCGACCTGGAGATGGGATATCCCGGAAGAGGATGTCTGTGGTATCTGCCAGGTTCATTTCGACGGCACATGCCCAACATGCAAATATCCCGGCGATGATTGCCAGCTATGTGAGCCGAATCCCTGCCATGGTGCCGATTTCGCCCGCGTGTTAATCAAACCTTAGTATCTGGAAAATGTGGCCATAATTTTCACATGGTTCGTCTAGGAGCCGTACTGTAGCTCACACATTGGCTAACATACCGACCCCTTCAATTAGCACTGTATCATGGAATGGATCAAACAGGAGTCTTCAAGAGGGCAATGTCCCATGTGCCGCCAACGTTCGTATTGCTATGCCAGTCTTTCAATTCTTACTTATGGTATCTGACCTTCTTCTAGCTTTTGAATGGGCCGACCAGAATAATGAATCTGCCGGCCAGATCGAGTGAGGCGACACACATAGTGAACTCACACGGAACTATCAGGGAAGCAGGGCAGATGTGTTCATGATATACATATTTTTATGGAGTTGGCCTAAGAAGGCTATCTATCATTTCGGGAGACTGCGCTCCCGGCAGCAAGTTATTAATTTCGACAGGATGTCTCGATTTCCTCTAAGCCTCAGGGACATAAACACCATCTTTACACAGAACCACCACCTTTTTGAAGAACCGTCGCCATTCCAAAGGGTCGCCTTTGACCTTGACGAAGCTTACATCGAGCACCTCGCCATCAGCCAGCCCGTGCTTATGGACCTGGATCTCGCCGTATAGGAGTTGTCGGCGGCCATCGACAGCCCTGACTTTGATGTTGGCAACGTTGTTAGCATACAAATTAGGTGTGACGGTCCCTAGTGGCACGTTGAGTTGATGTAGGGCGTCGCTTAGCATCTGGACAATGTGTGCTGGTGGAACGTGTGAGAAGAATCTTGTAAGGGATTCCCGAGGGCAGATATCAGCAAAACGCCGGGCTTGCTGTGTGAGGCTGAACGAAGGACCGGGAGTTTGGGAGAACTGTGACATGGAAGGCTCATCAGCTAGACTGTTTAAAATAGCACGCCCGGTCTCCCGAGCCCTTGCTGGCATGGAGGAGGCAGGTGCAGCCATAGACCGCAATACAGGACGTTCCCAGTCCCAGTCCTCATCTGCCATAGGTGCCTCAGGTTGGGTGGATGCGAATCGACCAGCGTTCAGTCCAGTATCAACATCCATGCTGTCAGCGCCGGCTTCCCTCTGTGAAGCGCTTGCTGGCTGGCTAAAGTCTATGTGTAGGTTCTCAAGCATCTGAGTAGCAAGGTTGATAGGGTCGGAGATCTTCCCATCTGTGGTGAGAAGAGGGTTGTGTCGTGTATACCAGGGGTGCTGTCGGATTTGCTGAAAGTTGAAGCGCTTCTTGGGATCAACGCTCATCATGCCGCGTAGTAATGAGAGGGCCTCTGGCGGAATCTTCTCCCACAGGGCATCGCCGCTCTTCCCTGATGTACGTACGTATTCTTGGAACTCCCAGCTACTTGTGGTGGGCTCATCCCATGGTGTATTTCCAACGAGGAGAACGAAGAGGATAACACCACAGGACCATATGTCCACCAAGTCGGAAGAGTACTTGTCTCCGCCGGCGGACTTCTTGTCCACTTTTCCGCACAATAAGATCTCCGGGGCGATATATGGAGGACTTCCACAGAGCGTGGAGCTCGTTTTCCTCTGGCCTTTGTATTCAAACATGGTCGCCATGCCAAAGTCTGCCAGCTTCAAGCTCCCGTCGGAGGAGAGCAGGATGTTCTCTGGCTTCAGATCACGATGCGCCACACCCTTGGAATGCATGAAGCTGACGCCTCCAACCAGTTGGGCAAAGTACAATTGGGCAATATCCTCTCTCACCCCCACGTCAGCCTCGATCTTGTCAAACAAGTCACCACCTTCGGCGTACTCCATGGCAATCCAACGCCACACATTGTCCTCTCCCGAGGCAAACCATTCGATGATATTGGGATGCTGACCAATGTGTGAATGGAGGGACACCTCCATGGCCAATTGCTTGAGTGAGACACGCCCCTGTTTCAAGGCATAGCCTTTGTGAATAAGTTTGACTGCAAATACGGGGCTTGGTTCGTCCAAAGGGATGGCCTTTTTTATTCTACAACCGAGATATCAGCCCTGAGCCCTAGTAAACTGAAAGGTGAAACCAAATGAATCTAAGGTAGTCTTACGAAGCGTAGGCCCCTCGTCCAACCGTCTTTGAGACGATGCGGAAGGGCAAATCCCTGGGAAGAGGATCGAGTTGCGACTGTGACATATTAGCCATCTATTGTACGAAGCTCATCAAGCAATAAAAGTACACAAACAAAAGTGATGCATTGCTGATTGGGGTGGCAGCACTTACCATGTTGCTAGCACGCTCATGCACATGCAGGCAAATACAACCTCAGCGGACGGCGTCTGATTGACGGTGGCCTGCAGAATGGCACGCGTAAAAGAAAAACGCAGGTCGTGATAATCGCGTCCACCCGCGTTAAGCTGTTTTTCTCTCCCAAAGAGGTGTATTGCAGGGTGTGATCTGCGGTTGGCTGGTTCAGGGCGTGCCAGCTCACCACAGAGACTCTGTTTTGGTTGGTTGCCAGGCGCCCGCCTATCGAGTCAGGGCGGCTGAGGTGGCGCGCCGCTGATTGGTGGTGGTGGTGCAGAGCGCTGGGACTCGCCGTTGCTGCGGCAAACAAGGGCCCGTTGATTTAGAACGGCCTGCCTCTTGGTCCTTCATCGTTTACCTACCAGACCTTCTTGACCAGCATCGTCTTCCTCGTCTTCTTTGTCCAAGCGCCAAGTTTGATACTCATCTATTTCTGGGCCTGCCTGTCTTGGAGTTTTGCATCGCTCTTGCTTTCCGTCTTAATATAAAAATCTCCAGGCACTAGTTCTCTTGCGCCGTCTCCCTGCTCTCATCCAAGACCTGAGGCTTGATTTTTTCTCACATAACTTCTTCTAAGAGCTATCATCAGAAGCACACATTAGCCCACCTGCGCTACTTTCATTTTTCGCCATGGACTATTCTACACAGGACAACCAAAACGCTGCTCCAGGTACCTTGGATGCCGCCAAGCTCAATGGCGCCCGCAAGCCTGATTCTCAAAGCGTCACCAAGAGGTAGGATCTCCCTATCCGCCATTCCCGAATGCTGAAGTTAACCCTGGCAATTGGTAGACTGCAGACTGAGCTGATGCAGCTCATGACTTCGCCTGCTCCTGGCGTATCTGCATTCCCATCGGCTGATGGCAATCTTTTAACATGGACTGCAACCATTGAGGGTCCGGATGACACCCCCTACACGGGTCTGACCATGAAGCTGAGCTTTGCCTTCCCTTCAAACTACCCGTATGCCCCTCCTACGGTTCTGTTCAAGACCCCTATCTACCACCCAAATGTCGATTTCTCAGGCCGCATCTGCCTGGACATTCTTAAGGACAAGTGGACTGCCGCCTACAACGTCCAGACTGTCCTGCTGAGCCTGCAAAGCTTGCTCGGAGAACCCAACAAGTAAGTTAGCCCTTATTTACTAGGCATGTCACTTCTGATGTCTAACATGCTTATCTGTAGCGCATCCCCGCTGAACGGCGAGGCTGCAGAGCTCTGGGACAGCGACCCAGAGGAATTCAAGAAGAAGGTGCTGGGAAGGCACAGGGACATTGAAGAGGAGTAAGGGAGAGTTCATGATACCATGATGCATTTTCTGAGGAGAACCGGAGTCTTTGGAACTTTTCCTTGAACAAGTTTTTTGATTTTCTTCACTAGAGTTAGGGTTTGCATTGCATTTCAGGAAACCTTGGGCATTCCAGGACCATATTATCCAAATGCGCTCTTTGTGAGGTTGCAGCAAGCAATATAGTCTAGGCTTGACAACAGGACCTTCGTGTCTGAGATCGTTCCCGTATCCGGTCGGTATCACAACGAGAACAGGAGCAAAATTTTGTTTTGTCATAAGTTCAAGCTTTGTTCACATTGCCCTCAGTATTTTTAGCGTAAAAAGCTAGAATGCCGTTCGCAACTCCGAAATGCCAATTTCACCCAGATCCTTTTTCCTTGGAAAGAAACCGCACCTTTATTCCTCAACAACGACAGTGTGGAGTCCCTTGGGGTTCTTGACGTTGACGGCCTGAACGTAGCTGTACAGCTTCTCCTTGGCGCCCTCCTCGTCATTTCGTCGTCGGGAAATTCGCACGCGCAGCCTGTAGGGAACACCCTTAACACCCTGCTCCCAGACCTTCTTGTTGAGCTCGGGGTCCAGACGGACGTCGGAGGTACCCTAAATTGCAATGTTAGCCTGCTGATCTTCCCACCCAGCTGTCCGGCGCCATTGATGTCCGGTTGGAGAGGTGGTTGTGGTGAGTCGTACCATGGCCTGCTCGGCGAAAGCCTTGATCTCCTTGATGGCGCGGGGAGCCCTCTTCTTGAAGGAAACACCGTGCACCTTCACACCCGAATGTTAGCAAGTCGCTCCATCAATTCAAAGCTCGTAGATCTGGGTTGTCGCTTCGACATACTCTCTTGTGCATGTGGATGGTGTACTCGCGGGCAACAACGTCCGCAATAGCGGAACGCTGGGTCTTTCCGGAAGGCTTTGACGACATTTCTGTGGTGGGAGATCAGTTGCGCTGTTCGGTGACAAATGAAGTAAAAGAATGTTCTCTAGTTCTCCTGCTGGGATCAAGAGCGAATCTAGTGAATGATTGTTCAAGGAAATTGGATCGGGTCGTACCTGCGGCTCGTCTCGTGATGTCCGGCTGGCTATGAGGAGTTGTTGAAGTCGGATGCCAAAATGTATAATTTCTGTGTGCCTAGGGCAGGCTCGAAAAAGTTTGGTGGGGACTAGCGACCCAATCAAAGCCCTCACTCCGTGGTTTATCCTCAGAATCACGTGTCTGCGGTACGTATCTTTTTCTGCGGGTACGAACTTCGAAGGACAAGGCTATTGTACCCACTATTTGCTAGCCAAGCTTCCTTGTTTGGAGGTCCGCAAATTGGGTGTCACGTCAAATGAAGTTGAGCAATGCATTGTGTTGATCGCCATGCGCAGTTCCCGACTCCATTCCAACCTCTCTCGTACAACGACAGCGACAAGCACCAACGACTGGAATACGAATAAATTCCCCTTTGGCAGGACTTTCGCTCATTTTACCGCCGGATAAAAAGGGATCAGTGACCAACGCCAACTGTCTCACGCTCCTTGACATTTCTACTGTTTCAAGATCCCGCTCAATAGGAGTCGAACGAACTCAACCTGCGATTTCGACCCTCATCCCCTCGCGGACCCCGAAAAATCACGAAACGACTTCATCAATCTTCGACCATTTGATCAGACTGATAAATTACCGAATCTTTGGTCATGGCAGACCGCGAACATGAACCAGTGGCGATGACGCCCTCGCCTGCACCCGATCTGACTAGGAACCGCCTACCCA